CCCTTGAATGGAGAACAGTATCAGAGGTTATTTTGTAAAGAACTAGAAAAAAATTAAAAAATGTAGAGATTAATGAATTCCAAAGCTGTAAACACTGGTATTAGCTCACTAGCATCAGGAAGCCATAATTTGGAATGAATGAATGAATGAATGAGGAAAAATTAGAAATAGTACCTCATGTGCATCCCCTCAGCCCCACCCTTTCATCACGTTTACTTATATTCCTTCTGTTGTATCTCATACAAGTTTGCTCTTCTTTGTTGGCCTGACCTACAAAATATGTCAGAGAATTGTGGTCCCACAGGGTCTCCAGCTCTTCATGTAGAAGAAAATAACCGAGTGAACCTGTGAAAACTTAAATCTATCACTGGCCAACTGCTGAGTTATTTACTTCTGTGATTACTGGGGCCAGAGGTCCACACAACCCGTCCCAAGTGGTAAGACATTAGAAGTTGAAGTTCAGGAGATAGTGTAAGGGAGTGAGTAAAAGGAAAAAATGGTTGAACACATGATTTTTAATTTCAGTGAAAGGAAAGATAAACTTTCCCAAGATCTCTCCCGGAGATAGCAAGGAGGTGAAGTTAGCAAGCAAGAAAACTTGAAAAAAGAAAAAATTACTTGTGCTTTCTTTCCCTGTGAACCCCTAAGTCATGTACAAAAATTATAATGAGGTAAAATATACATTAAGAAATTCTGGATGTGAGGGCAATCTGGCTGCGACATCTGTCACCCATTGATCGCCAGGGTTGATCCTGCTGATCTGGCTGGCTAGGCGGGTGTCCCCTTCCTCCCTCCCCACTCCATGTGCGTCCCCCCTGAAGCTGTGCACTTGGTCGAAAAGGATGATTTTCCTTGATAGAGGAGGACCTTTCTTTGGTCAAGGGTATACGAGTAGCTGTGCTCCTCTGCTAGAACCTCCAAACAACCTTTCAAGAAATTCCACAAGTGTATAGTTTGATGGACTTTTGCCAATATATACATCTCTATAACCACTACACACATCATTGCCAGCACCCAGAAAGCACTGTCTTGACCTTGCTGGTCAGGACCCTTCAGCCCCCCAAAGTATCTACTGCTCTGATTTCCATCACCAAAGATTCATGTTATTTGCTCTTGATTCATAATTATAGAATCTTTGAGTATACACTCTTTTATGTCTCAGTTCTTTTACTTATTGTTATGTCTGCAAGAGTCCTCCATGTGGTTGCATTTTTTATTGTTGTGTACTATTCCACATTTTGATGAATGTTTCCATTTTGGGTCTACTATGAAGTCAACCTGTTACAAACGTTCTTCTTGTCGTCTTTTGGTGGCTGCATTCATCGTTTCCCTTGGAAAATACAAAGGGGTATAAATCACTTAATTTGCTTTTGGCTACTACCCTGGAGAAAAATCTTGTGAAGATAATTCTGAAGGCTACTTTCTCTCCAGGATAATTAAATAAGGTGATAATGGTAAAGGCTATAATTATTAAGCATACACTAAATGTCCCAAATGTGTCAGATCCTTTCCATATATAATCTCATGTCATCCTCATGACCACTCTCAGAATCCTGTATTATTACTTCTATTGTGAAGATGAGAATATTGAATATGAAACATCATATTAGAAAACAACCCTTGCCCTCCTCAGTGTGTATGTGTGTGTATTAATAAGTACTCAGTGAGTGGCACTAATGAGAAAAGGAAGTGATGGAAATCCTCACTATATAAGGGCTGGAGACTGGCCTGGAGAGATGGCACACTTTGGAGAATGAGAAGTGCTGCATGTCAGGTGGACAGAATGGCATGAAATGAGTGAAAATAGGAAATGAGATTTAATATGATTGGGGTGTGTGTGTTGTGTGTGTTTTGAGGGTACAGATGTAATTCATTGAGCAATATATCTCAACAAACACACAGTATAAAGTACGGAAGGGTCTTTAAATTTCTAAACTATGGTGTTCATTGAATGTAATCCTGTAAAAAAAGGAAAACTAGCAAGGCATGATGAAAGTAAGATTTCATGAAGATCAACCTGTGGCTGAGTACACAGAATAGGTTGATAGCAGGGAAAAGCTAACAAAAACTATTTTAAGAGTTAAGAAAAGAGGCTATTGGTGCTTAAATATAAGAAAGTGGACCTCAGGAGAGAATCCAAGATTGGAGATAACAAATCTTGCTATTTTATAGCATTTTGAAGAAAAGAATTATTTGTACATATATTATCTGCGAACTGTGATGTGGTAAGAGATAATCGACCCCATTGTATTGATGGGAAAATTGAAGATAAGAATAGTCCAAGCTCACCTCCAAAGGAAAAAAAACCAAATGTATAGCACAAAAAAAAAAAATGAAGCCTGACTCCAGATCTGTTGTTGCATTACATCATTTTGCCTCTCTACAAAGGTCAGGACTGAAGTGTTTCTCTAAATGTAAAATATCATACAGTAGAGATGGTCTTGTTTCCGTGAACTTCAAACTCTACCCCCAGCTCTGGGCATTTAATTGCATAAGAGAAGACCATGTGACGTTGTGTATCTATGTTTGCAAGAATCAAGTGCTCTGGCAAAGTATGCTTTATTTTTATTTCTATCGCTTCTCGCGCTTGACCCTTCCATAGAGACACAGGTTTATGAAGTCTTGAGATACCAATTACAAACTATTTTCCAACTCAATATACATTTTAAGAAGTCTGGGTATTGACTTACCATAAAATCAACCCTAAGTGATTCACTTGGGTTTTCTAACGTGACTCGACTCTTCAGAAAATTAGAAAGATTTCAAAATGATGAGACACTATATGCTACTTAAAATCAGGAATGTTTTTCTGTCCATGAGTAGTCTAATGCCTAGGATGTGGTAGATACACAAATGTTTGCTGAATTAATTACTGTGGTCCATAAGTCCAATGATTCCACCTGGGTACACCCCAGTGTACCATAACTGTGTAGTGGAAAGAGCACTGGGGAGAGAAATCTTGTTTGTGGTCTTAGATCCATGCATTTGTAGCAGATTGAGCTCATAAAACACTTCACTATTTCACTGGCCTCAATTTTCTCATCTATTAAATGAGGGATTAGACTGAAAGTTGATCTGGTAGTTTCACACCATTTCTTATATTCTAAGACTAAGTGTGTTTTCCTGGTATGCACTTTAGCTATTCCATGGCAAATAACCTCCCCTAACTAAGTTTAATACTGTTTTTTTATGTGCTAGGAAGAGTAGGAAAAAAGGTATCATGGGCTCTTTCTCTCGCCAGTACCTCCTAGGGGAGCAATGAAGATGAAGATGAGTTTTCAAAGGTCATTAACTGATATATCTTTTATGTACTAGTTTGCAATGCTGCATGGTAATATACCTGTGGGTTAATTCCCTCATATGTCAGGATTAAAAACTATTTTCAATAAAGTTTTTTGTTCTTCTTTGTGTGTGTGTGGTCAGGTAAGCAAATCTTTCCCTCCTTAGGCATACCCTTAAATATGACCTATTTTCTCTATTCAACTACATACACATGCACCTTGTAAAATATATGGTAAGAGTTTTTTTTTTTTGCCTTTTGAAGGACATATATTCATATATATCAATAAATTTATAGCAGATAGAAAGAGAATGCAATTGTTTTTAAAATAGAGGTCCTCTTTGGAAAGGGTGATGCCTTAAATTTCCAGAGAGTGGAAACTCCCTATAACATAGTCTTTAAAGCTCCCAGTATTTAAATGTGCATTGAAAAGATGATATTGGAGGGGGACATTTTTGAAATAAATTATTGGTTATCACGGAGGAGAAAGTTCACTTAAACGCCAGATTTCAGCATACACAAATGTCACTTTCATATCACTGTGTATTACATATCACCATAAAATTTTAAAGGCAACCCAGCCCATTACCATTGGGAACAGATCTATGTGTGGTGGTGGGGGTGTTATTCCTTAGAATACTTAAGCATGGCACTGAGTATCTACCCTACTTCTTGACTAGCCTGGGATTAACTTGGCTCAAACCCAAGTATATTCTTTTTTACTTTTCCATTTGTTAAAGATGCTTAGAAACTTTACTCACATTTTCTTCCGGCTTTGTTCTATCTACTAGATTCTCTAAAGGCTCAACATTTCTTTGAACCAATTGTGCCTTTTTCCATCAAGTATATCATTCTTTGAATCATCTTTCTATTGGTTACTGTAGATAACGTTTGCCATAGACATGAAAAGAAGCAGCAGAGAGAAGTTGCAAGTAAAAGTTAAGATCTGCTTAACCGAACACAGTACATCGGCTTTGTTTTTCCTTCTGCATATCCATCCATCCATCTAGGTGAAAATACCAAATATTTAAATATTTTGCAAAGTTAGTGCTAAGTGAAAACACAGACGTGTGCACTTACTCCAGCCCTTGCTTCTCCACTATACGAATCCAGCTAGGGGGGTAGGAAAAGACAAGAATGGGGCAAGCTACAATGAAGTAAATCATTGGGGAAATGTGCATCTAGAAAGACTCCTCCGGCCCCTGCTTTGAAGAAGCTCCCTTTAAGGTGTGCGTGTGTGCTCCTTTCCCAAACCTTCTGAACCGTGATGATGAGAGAGATTTTGCATTGCAAAGGCCAACATTTTTAAAATGCAGTGCAGGTAGCTCATAGCCAAAAGCGTCGCTCCTGCAGGGGTTGCAAAGGAGGAGAGAGGCAGGAGCTCGGGCAGCCAGCTGGGGGCTGACCTGATTCCCTAGAATCCTCAGTTCCCTTCCTCTTTCCTCTCGACGTCCTTCCTTCCCTGTTTCTCCTCTCCCTCCTCCCTCTTTCCCCTCCCCAGATAAGCAGCTCCGGGAAACAAAGAATCCGGGCTCTCCAGACCTCCGAGCTTACACCCAGCTCTCCGCAGGCGGCATCTCTCGCGGGTGACCCGGGCGCTCCCGATCTCCGTCTCCTCCCCAGCCTCCCCCGCCTCCCGCGCTCGCTCGCTCGCTCGCTCCCTCCCCGCGCTGCCTCCCCCACCGTCGCCGCTCGGAGAGGAAGGCGGCCGGGGCTCAAGATGGCTTTAGCCCGGCTCTGCGCCCTGCTCGCCTGCTGCTGGGGGCCGGCGGCGGTGCTGGCCACGGCCGCCGGCGACGTGGATCCGTCCAAGGAGCTGGAGTGCAAGCTCAAAAGCATCACGGTGTCGGCGCTGCCCTTCCTGCGCGAGAACGACCTGAGCATCATGCACAGCCCCTCGGCCTCCGAGCCCAAGCTCCTCTTCTCGGTGCGCAACGACTTCCCCGGAGAAATGGTCGTGGTGGACGACCTGGAGAACACCGAGCTGCCCTACTTCGTGCTGGGTGAGTCCCGGGGGAGGTCCGGGCGGCCGGACGCGCTGGACCGGCGCCCCCACCCCCACTCCGGCTGGCTCTACACACCCACTCGCCGACGACCTCCCCATCCCCCACTCCTGCCTCCTTGGATCCGCCCCACTCCCGGACCGTTCTCCACACCCACTGGCAGGCTAGCGCCTCCGTGCCCCTGGCTGCTCCCCAAATCCGACCTGGATGCTCAGCATCCCCTCAGCTGCCCTGCCCCAAAGGAACAGGTTGCACAAGGCTCTTAGAAACCTCTCCCAGCCTTGACGTCCCAGGTTGCGTTCAGGCACACCTCCACACAGCACTTCTCCTCTGCTGCCGGCCCAACTCCCTGACGCCCTTCTCCCCACTCCCTGGCCACACGCTCAGCTCTTCGCTTCACACCCCTGGACCACCCCCTTACTTCCTGGGGGCTTTAGAAACAAATATCCTCTTATCACCTCTCCAGGCAGGTGCAGGCCAGTCTCTAGTCTTCATTCCTGGAGAGCCTTTTGGCTGCCACCAGGTTCCTGACACCTTCCCCTCCAAACACTCAAGTTTCTTATGCCCCTGGCGTTCATCCTGGGAAGACCTACCTCCATGCTTAGATGTAACAACTCCCTCATCCAGCTACATCCACATCTCCTGTCCATGCCACCTCACAGTTGTTGGGATGAAGAAATCACCCAACTTGAATTTGTTACTAGTGATCTCTTCTTTGTTCCCAGAACCACCTTACATAGGGGTAGGCATTTCTGCACACAGAATGACCTTTCTGGGCAACAGTCTTTTTTTTTTCTTTTTTTAAATTTTGTTTACACCTCTCTCTTTGGTCCTCCACTGTAATTTTCTTAGGCTACAAAACTTCTTCAGGTACTGGAGCCCCTACTTTACTTCAAATGTACCCTTCTTTTTCACTACTGAGATACAAAGATATTGTGGTCCTGCTCCAGCACCTTGCAGAGCACCATGGGTTCATGTGACTTAGTTGACCAAATTCCCCTCACTCCTCTGTGTGCAGATGTGTCTCTCGCTCTGTGCATGCCTACTGTGCAATCCATTTCTTTAGTGATGTTGTACATTATTCTTACCTTGCCCAAGAGAAAAATCAAAGGTAACCCCAAGTCAGTCTCTAGATCCAAGAAACAAACAAACAAACAAAGAACATGTCCAGGAGGCTGTTGCATCTATTTAATGCCCTGCCAACTGGAGTTCGCTTTGCAGGAACATGGCTTCCTGATGGCCATATGTAGATTAGGGACATATGTGGAATTCGAACATCTCCCTCTTGCTCTTCCTTCACAAGTTACCTTCACAGTGAAAACTTCAGGAAGTGGGTGAGTAAACTCCCACTCCTCAACCCTTCTGGAAACACGATTTCAAAAATTGCCTGGTCCCTGGAAAAGTTGGTTTCCAGTTCCTGGAGTGCCACTGTGTCCAACCCATTCAACCTGACCTATGTTCTTAATAGGATTATTTATTTTTGCACCAAAAAAATAACCATAACTAAAGCATAATAAAAAACCTGGGGGCTCCCTGGGAATGGGACACTGAGTCTGCTGCTCATCAAAAATGTACAATCGATGCGTTCTTCAGTGGATGAAGTTTTTGTGTGGAAGTCATGCTGATGTGCAAGTACAATCTGTTCATCACAGTACAGAAGAATGAGTGTAGGAAATTATGTGTTTCTAAAGAGGCTGTTCGGGGCTCTGTATGCAGTGTTTATGGTGCATGAAGAGGGATGTGTGTGGTGCCTGAAAAAAGAACGGGGTTAGCAGGTGTTCAGAATTCCACTTCCTTTTTTTGCACAATTCCAAAGCCAGGGCCTGATGCTGTGATGTGCCTTCTAGGCCCCAAAGGCCCAGATGTTAAAAAATGGGTTTTCTGCACTTCTTGCAGAGCTGCCCACTGCAGCACCCTGTTGATGTTGCTATGGTAACCTACTGCAAATTGGCATTTACACACAGGCACAGATACACTCTCACTTCAGGGCCAGATGCACTTTTAAAATGCATTGTTTGTCCCCCTGCTTGCCTTGGCAGTGGCAGTGGTGTGTTCTCAACTGGAGGTGTGCTCGTGCCTATCCTTTCTAGCTCACTATTCCCAAGGGGAGCAGGAGTGATTCTCAGCTTGGGTGGTGGAACAGAGCTGGGAAGAGAGGGAGAGGAGTCCACATTTATGAAGGATAGAGTCAAGGTTAGTTACTTATGAACTTAACTTTTGTGGTCCTGGATCCTGTCACTCGTGGCAACAGTGAGAGCATTAGTGACTTTGGTCCAGGGCTTTGCCTACTCTGATCTGTGAAACCTGGTGTGCCTAATCCCTCCCCCCGAGAAGATGGAATCAGTCAGTCCTGGAAGTTTATTGAGCACACACTTGCTTAGCCCTCTGTAGCACTACTGGGATCTAGAAGTTACAAAACATCAAAGCCTCCTGCTCTCAGGTACTCTGTAGTCATTGGAAACACGAAGTTACCTGTAAAAGCTGTGAGCAATAATTTCTGATTGTGCAGAATGGCTGTTACGGGGCCTCGGGATGGTGTGGATGGAGATGCTTTCGTGAGAAGAGCAGACTCCATGGCAGACATGGGCTTGACTAGGCGCCTTGACCAAAATCAGATCCTGTTACTCCTCTGAGTGAAAAAAAAAAAATAACAAATAAAAACAACTGCAGAAACAAGCTTTGGCTTCCTTTTGCCTTCAGGATCAAGTCCTGTCATTTTAGTGAGGTGAACAAGGGTCTTTTCTTTCTGATTGCCGCCACTTTCTCTAGCCTCTTAATCTTCCAACCCTGCCATGGCCTTCAAGACACTTTCAAGACCTTGCATATTCTCGGCCCTCCGCCCAGAAGGCTTTCTGTCCCTTCTCCATTTGGATCTATTCTTTCTTCTAAACTCTGCACACCTGTCACCTGTCTGTGAAGCCTGCCCTACCTACCAAAGGCCGTCTTAGGCCATCCTACTTCCGCCCTCTTTGTGTAGGTAATAAAACAAATAAAACACAGATGTGCAGATTTACAGGTAGATTAGATTCAGCTGGGTCTCGAAAGGTGAAGCCATTTGAGATCTTGAAAGAAAAATGAGCCAAGGCAGGTAGTGGGAGTGAAAATGGCAATGGCACAGCCATGGCGTGTAATGGAGGGCAGCCTGTTCAGAGGATGAGTAGAGGGGACCATGCCTGGCTCTGCAGAGTGGCACGTGGTCTCCACTGCAAAGCAGGCAGGAAGCCCTGACTTGACATAGAAAGCATTGCATCTTGATTCCCAGGGGCTATTTCAGCCATCAGCCTTGCCAGTTTTGCTTGTAGGATAATCCAGGGTAGAGGGGAAGAAGAGTCAGCGTCTCCTTTTCTCTAAGGTAGGGTTTGCAAATTGTGATTCAAGGGCCTGATGTAACTCTCAGTTATGCTTTGTTTGGCTCCACGTAGTTTCAGAAGGCTTTGAACTTGAATGTTTTAAGTCAGGGCATGTCCTCTCTAGATTGCTTTACTTCTGCGAATTCTCATTGTTCTCCGTCTGACGGTCATTATGCCACTTATTTGGCAATTCCAAGCCAGGTAATCGAAACCCCTGCTCTCGGATGTGTTGTAGAAGTCACAACAGTATTGCAAATTAACTGTCATTTCTAATTTAAAATATTTAGGTACCTAAGCCTTAGTATCCTCTTGGGAGAATTTAAAAGGTTTGCCAAATTAGTCAACTAAAATTTCATATCTCAGCTTTCAGAACAGTAGAAATTCCTGCTTTGGAGGCATATTTGATTTTGAGACAAGGAATTAACCTGAAGCTTAACCAGGTTTTCTGTGCTGTGAACAGAATATATTTATCAGTCTCACTACTGTTGGAAGGCATGCTCTTCTATTTCAGACCCAGCTATTGAGCTTTTGCATGTGTAAAACTTCGTGAGGAAAGCTGTTTCTCTTGTGCTTTGGAGTTTTGCTTTAGCTGTCATGGGTTTTGATTGAAGAAGGTATTCCTGAAGATAAATCAATCAGCCTGCAGAGATGTAGTAAGTTCCCGCATGCAAGGTGCTGTTTCAAGTGTCTGGAGCAGTCCAGTGTGGCGGTTAAAAGAACAGGCTTTGAAGACAGATTTGCTGTCAACCTCTGGCTCTATACTTACTCCAACAGTGGGGAAAAGTGAGCATCAGGAAGGTTAAATAACTTACTCAGGGTCACTTAGCTAACAGCTGATGGATCCATCACTCGAACTCAGGTCAATATGATGTTTAAGCCTTTCTCTTGGCTACAATTGTACAAGCCTTAAAATTTTTCAAAATCTGTTCTTTTTTATGTTTGGATAAAAGGAGCTCTGACAATGATAAGAGTAGGAAAGTGCACTCTCCTAGTCTGTCTAAAGGAGACCTTTATTGTTTCTAGGTAAATACCTCTTGGATAGCCTTGCCCATTGAGTGATTTCTCACATAAGCCTTAAGGCAGAAGGTGAACTTTTTCAAGAAATACTTACCTAAGTAGGTATACTTCCCAAGAAAGATTGGGGAATTCTTTCTTGACAGTTTCTAGGTTTGGGTAGCCATGGGTCCATGTTACTCTGGTGTCATGCTATGGCACCCATGGTCATGATGAACAAGGTAGTTAAAATGCATATGGATAATATGTTCAATGCTCTTTTGAAAAGGGCTCTACAAAAATGCAAATGGAGAATCCATGAGAGAAGGTACTATTGTCACATGGAGCCATCCAGAAGGAACTGTGCTGTGGTTTTAGCTGCTTGTTCAAAGCCACTGATATTTGTATTAGGCGGTCTTGTGCTTAGAACCCACTGTCAGAAACCAGTGAAGCTGCCTGAGTAGCAGTTACTGAGCTGTTCAGTGGCCTTCAAATGTAATACTAGACATAACGTTCTGCTTACCAGCGAGCTTTAGCCCAATATTTGGGCATGTGAAATACCCTAATATCCCTACATTCTTTTCACAATCTGTCCATTGTCCTATTTGTGGAGAACTTTGAAATTTGTTTCTTTTCTCTTCTGCTCTCCGCTGCTGT